TATACGTATGTATGTGTATATATATAAATATAGACACATGGTATGTGTGCATATATTTATATATATATATATATATGTGGAATATGTCTATATGGAATATATATATATATATATACATACATATATATATATATACATACGTATATATGTATATATGGTTTATATATATACACATATATATATATATGTATGGTGTATACGTGTATATATGTATGGTATCTATATATATATATATATGTGTGTGTGTGTGTGTGTATATATATATATATATTCACGGTGTGTATACATATATATATATATGGTGTGTATATATGTATATGTAGGTAGATAGATACTGTAGACATACAGAATACCACCAGGTTTTTTATGAACACGCCTCCTCAAACAACCCTGCAGCAGCATGCGTGATTATAGGGGAAAATAAGACACGTCGAGACACATCATCGCATCATTTCTCAGGTTGATTCTTGACAGAGCTGACACTAAACCCGAAACCATGGTTTGCAGTTTTGGCAGATTTCAAGTGCTTGGCGCAGCGCCCCTCTGGCATCGTCCGACTTCCTGAAAACTGAACACCACCTGCCCAGAGAACCCAACTCCCCTTAATCAAGCAAGGCATATGCCATAAATCATAAGGGGCTGAATCTTATAGTTTATAGTGTATTCCTTAGGAGCATTGGGCTCTCTGGGCCCCAGAAAGACACTGCCAAGGCGCCCGTGCTGCCAGCGACTCCAGCGAACTCAGCGCCTCCAGTCGCACGCCGGGGTCCTCATCCTGCAATCAGACAACAACAGGGCCCTTATTGAGCGCCCTAAACCCTATACCCTAAAACCTAAACCCTAAAACCTAAACCCGCAAGTGGGAACTTGAAGGAAGCCGGAAGTCATGATATCGGCATCATTAGAACAAGACTTGAGGGACGAAGGCTTTGGCCGCAAGACTGCGAGGTATCCTGAAAAATGCAGCAGAGGGTTGCATCGCTTTCTCATCACAGGCAAACCAGAAATAATGAGCTTTGACCCATTCACCTGAGGGTGTGACTGCAGTATGAAGTCACCTGACTGCAACCTTCAGACAGAAGCCTGCTTCATGCAATGCACCTTCCTCTTCAAATCCCCATGTGGTACGATCAAGACCTGATTCACAATGACCGAGACCTTGGAACGTCCTCTGCAGATGCCGCTCAAAGCGCCACTCAAAGTGCCCCCCAAGGTGCCGAAGACTAAACTGGATCGGCTTACAGCTGACGGTTTGGGGATTGCCCGCCCTAGGCGATAGTCACCACAGAAAGAGATCTCAACTTAGGCAGAACAGCATTGAACGCACGAAACTGCGAATCATAGACGCAAGGGTAAGGATAACATGGTTCCTAAACTCTAATCCATGATTGACATGAACCCTAAACTCTAAACCCTAAAGCCCTTTCGGGCTTTCTGAACCCTAAACCCTAAACCCAAAACCCTAACTTAGTGCCTAAAAGCGCACGTTCAGGACGAAAAGTTTCGGGGCTGTGCTCCCGCCTTCGTCGTCGGCTCAAACTCGAAGAAGAGGTCCTCGAAGGGCTTGGCTTTTGGGCTTTGGGGCTTTTGGGCTTTTGGGTTTAGGGGTTTGGGGTTTTAGGGGTTTAGGGTTTAGGGTTCAGGGTTCAGGGTTCAGGGTTTAGGGCTTAAGGCTTTGGGCGATTTTGCTTTCGACACAACTTTCACCGATTGCTTGCAGATAAGATCACACAGAAGGCTGTGGCACAGGAGAACCCCCAGGCCTGAAAGTTACGGGTCTCTGACTCATGTCCTAAGGACACACTAAAGCCAAGAAAGCCTGCGGTAGGGGCCTTAGTAATTACAATAGGGTTTTGGGGTGGTATATTATACTAGAATTATAACCAGGAAGCCCCAAAAATAGTATAGGTGACTATTGAGGCCCCGATAGTACGAACGCTTAACACAACACTGCACTGCCGAGCTCCACGGCCCTGTCCCGAAGACTTGTGCCCGAAACCAAAACCTCAATACTTCCATGGGGGAAAGTATTCAACATGGTGCTAATTCCACCAGGACAAACATAAGGATCCAAGGACAGCTCTAACCTAGTCAATCTTTAGATCAACGTTTCGATTCAAACCTTAGAGCCACTGCAAATGCGAATCAGGCGTTGGGGCTCCGAATCTGCAATCCGAATCCCTAGTATCCTGAATATAAGATCCCGGCCCGCACACCTTATCAAGACCTCCATCCCAAAATTAACCCTAAACCCTGAACCCCTAAACCACAAAAAAACATCTCGCCGCGTGCCGAGCATCGAAACAAAGGTGCGGATATCTCTCGACGAGTGACTCGGGAGGCCAGGGCTCGTCTACCTGCGGCCGCACAATGCAGTGGCGGATGCACGGACCAAGGGGCACAGGGACCTTCTTGATTGAAGCAGGGCTTTCGGGGGCATGCTTTACTATAACTACGTATATGAGGACTATAAGACTATAGGGAGATTGCTGTCACTTATTCCGACCCATGTAGTATCGTGCCTGCGGGGGGCATTGCTGGGAGTAAGGGTTGACGGCTTACGTCTTGGGGTTTGGGGTTGTAGGAGAAGTCACTGCGCATAGACATATGGATAGCATCCCCAATCAGAGCGAATACGGTGCAGAACTGACTGTCTGGCTTTGACCACCACTTCGCGAAGTTGCTGTTGGTGACCACAATGACAGGGCAACCAAGACGAGGGAACAACTTACTAAACTTTTTTACCCACTATGCTCACGTAGCCGCACGAGCATCCGGAGC